GACCACGCAATTGTCATTCAAAGAATGAGAGTACTGAAAGCTGAAAATTGGTCTGGGCAGGAAGAGGGTAAAAGGGCCCAATAGGCAAGAGGTTCATTTGCAAAAATAAGTGCCATAAGATGCCACTAGCACCAATATTAAAGACGAAATCAGTATCATGGAGGGACTTTATCTGTGGCTGCCAGTGGCAGGATCACAGTTGCAGGGAGTGGAGGATGATGGATGCACAAACAAATCCCAGGCTGGAATTCCCCAGGCAATGGGGGAGATAAAACTCTGTGAAAGCAGACAGCCCAGCCCACACACAGAAGAGAACACTAGAAGTGAGCGATCCCACACAGAGACATATCCAACACAATACACCCCCACCAACACTGACACAGATCAGTAAGCCCAGCAGGCACTAGAAGAGCAAGATGGTGGATCGTGATGATGTCATCACTCACTCACATATTGCACATGTGATGGATGGCCAGCCAGGTCACACTCACACAGACAAGAGACATCAGACATTACCATTATCTGCAGGTACATCTCTGCCTCCATTGATGAATGGGAAGAGAAGGGCTGGAACTCCACAGTGATCAGCAGCTGTCAGCCGGATTGCAGTAAGGGACTGAATCTAAGAGGAACACTGGAAGGAGCAGCAGCTCAGCTGCTACACTGAAACCAGTCACCCGGCAACTTCCTCTGTCCTTTCTTCCTCCCCTCTGCAGCAACTCCTCCCAGTTGGAGGATCATTCATGACATGGCGGCATCACACACAGAGAGAGTGCTGGCCTGTGTTTTCCTCTCTCTTTCTCTTTTTAACCCTATCTCTCTTTTCGCTCTCTCTTTCTCTCCCTTCTCTCTCTTTTTCTCTCTCAGATATAAATTCAAATAAGCTTTATTGGCAGGACCAAATACATTTTGGTATTGCCAAATCAAGTATTTTATGTGTTGGATATGAAGTGGGGAGGGTGGGGGAGAACAGCCCCTAGGGCATTTTTCTTTTTTTTTTTTAAGGGGTGAGGGATAATATAAAGATGGTAGGGCATGCATCCATGTAATGGATGTTTGTGTAGAAATGAGTTCCTGGAACTAAGCGTGCCCCATTAATGAGTATTTGGAATACAGTAGCAGGAAGTAGTCCTCATCCTCCAGGACCCCCGATCACACTACTGGCTCCGTCTACTCTCCTTTGGCTTGTAGGTCTTTCTGAGCCATCCTGATTAAATGTCCAGGCTTTTTGGGCACTCAATCTGTACAGCCTCAAGGTCTGTCTGTCTGGCTGGCTGGCTTGCTCTTGTAACATCTACAGGTGTGGTGCCAGTTTGCAGTTTCTCTTTAGTAACTAATACATAGTTAGTTTCAAGGAGTTTGTTATATCATTTCCCCATTCTCCAATACATTTTTCTTTGAAATCATTCATTTTGTCATTTATTTGGGATTTTGTCAGGCCACATTGTTGAGATTTGGGATAGACAAGGTGCTGATGAATTGTTGCAGGCCACAGGTCTGTTTTGTCCAGTGTCAGAAGGCCTGTCACAGTCCCACCATAAGTCGCTGATCGCCATTACTAGTAAAAAAAAAAAAAAAAAAATCCAGTATATATACCGCCATTTGTAAGTGCTATAACTTTCATGTAAACCAATTATTTACACGTATTGGGATTTTTTTAGCAAAGACATGTAGCAGAATACATTTTGTCCTAAATTTATGATAAAATCTGATGTTTAAAATTTTTTTACTGGACATGTTTAACCACTTGCCTACTGGGCACTTATACCCCCTTCCTGTCCCAATTTTCAGCTTTCAGCGCTGTCACACACACCCCCCCCCCCCCCCCCCCCCCCCCCCATCCCAATTTTCAGCTTTCAGCGCTGTCACAACCCCCCCCCCCCCCCCCCCCCCCCCCCCCCCCCCCCCCCCCCCCCCCCTTTGAATGACAATTGTGCGATCATGCAAAACTGTACCCATAGTACATTTTTATTATTTTTTTTCACATAGAGATTTCTTTTGGTGGTATTTAGTTGCCACTGGGTGTTTTATTTTTTGCGCTATAAACAAAAAATGAGCAAAAAATGTGAAAAAAAAAAGTTTTCCTTTGTTTCTATTATAAAATTTTGCAAGCAGGTAATTTTTCTCCTTCACTGGTGTGCGTTGATGAGGCTGCACTGATAGGCAGCACTGATGGGCACTGATAAGCAGCACTGATGGGCACTTATAGGCGGCACTGATGGCCACTGATGAGGTAGAACGGACAGGCAGCACTGATGGCTACTGATAAGAGGCACTGATAGTTGGCATTGATAGGCGGCACTGATGAGCTGGCACTGATGATGCTGCACTGATAGATGGCACTGATGGGCACTGATAGGTGGCACTGATGGGCACTGATCGGTGGAACTGACTGACGGCAGTGCTGGGCACAGGAGGGTGGCACTGCTATGCACAGGTGGCTGGCACAGGTGGGCGGCACTGCAGGGCGCTGGGTGGCACCGCAGTGCACAGGTGTGTGGCTCTGATGGGCATGGTGGGTGGCACCAAAGGGTACAGGTGGGCGGCACTGATGGGCACAGGTGGGTGGCACTGGTGGGCACTGATGGGCACTGATGATCAGTACCTATCACTTCTCTGACAATTGCCGGTTATTGGCAGTACTTTCCTCAAGCTGTGACAGTGTGAGGATGGTAACTGGCAATTGTATTTACCTGTGATCTGCTGTGTCATTGGACACAGCTGATCATGTGGTAAAAGGCCTCTGTGATTGGCCATTTACCATATCACATGACGGACACAGCAATCACTAGCGGCGCCGTGTGCACGCAGCTGGGGGCACGCAGGGGGCGTGTTCTGGGAGGACATCCATGGACACCCTCCCAGAACTAGACAACCGCGCTGTAGCTGTCTTTCTACTATAGCATGGTAGGGAAATGGTTAATAGCAAAAAGTCAAAAATATTGTATTATTCTCAAAATTTCAGTATTTTTTTTTGTATAGCAAAAAAAATATAAAAAAGCACAAGCAATCAAACACCACCGAAAGAAAGCTCTATTTGTGGGGAAAAGGACATAAATTTAATTTGGGTGCAGCATTGCATGACCGGGCAATTGTCAGTTAAAGTAACGCAACGCCATAAAACAAAAAATGGCCTGGTCAGGAAGGGGGTAAATCCTCTGGAGGGCAAGTGGTTAAACCCAAATTTCATGTGCATTTTCCACACCACTTTCAAAACTCACTGCATTTGAAATCTGGTGTCAATGTTAACTGAAAGATATCCCAAATGCAGGTCACAAACACAGTGTGTTTGACTACACAACATCAAATGTTACAGTAGTACCAATTGATACAGTTGCTGTACATTTTATAAAGTAGCTTGTACACAACTTTGGGTGTGATCAGGTACAATTTCTGCCCATTCCAATGAATGGGCTGAAATTGTACTGCACCCATATCTTATGTGAGCCACATTCCATGTGCGATTCATGGTAAACCATCCCCTGGTCTTTTGATGATGTGTTTTTGTTCCACAGTTAGCTTATCTTCTGCAATTTTTTTTGCAAAGGTTTTTGAAGTATTTGAGTCAGATGTTGCCATTTTGGATGTAGATGATTTTTTCTTGGGTACTGAGCCAATGTTCTTCAAGAGAACGTTTTTTCATCTTCCAATTGTTGCAGATTGTTGGAAACTAAGTTTTTTTTTTATGATTTGGTTGTAATTTTTCAGCAGAATTCAATAGGTTATCCTAAAACCATTGTTGTCCAGATCTCTGTGTTTGTTGTTTGAAAATGTCCTTAAGGATAGTTAGATAGTTTGTTGTAGTTTATTTTTCTCAGCTGAAATGTTTCTGAAATGGCGTGTAATATTTTCTGGAAGTATTTTGCTCCTCAGTTCACACTTCTTGGGCTTATCTCATAGGTGTTGTTTTGGAAGTTTTTGTATGTCAGTTCTGTCAGTTACCTCTCTGTATTTTATTGTAGACTGCCTGGAGCATTTAAATGATGGTGGCAGGTTTTGGAGGTGAAGTCTAATGTACTTTTAAGGATGTTAAAGTCATTTTAAGGATGGATTGTTTGAAGATTTAAAGGATAAGTAAACTTTAAAAAAAATAAATGCACTTTTTTTTACCCGCAAAACAAAAGTGCATTTATTTTTTTTTTCATTTGCAGCATGTAAAGCATTGCACCAGCAATCAGCAGATCACAGGTGTCATGCAGGACACCAACAGGCTTGTTAGTGTATCTGTGTCCTCACACCTCACACAGGCAGGCAGATACACACTGACAGGATGAGAATATAAACTACCAAAGTGCTCAACATTGCTGTGGAATTTCACTGAGAACTACAAGCCAACAGCTTGTAGGTTGTTTGTTCTTGTAGTTTTCCATTCACAGAACTCTGCGAATGAATGATGCAGCCAAGTGGGCGGAGCCCTATATGGCCACGTTATTTTCAGACAGTGACAGTGGGTGCCTGGAGAAGATGCCTGCTTACTGTCACTGTCGGTGGGATGCAGCTGCTGGAACATGCTACATGTCCCACCCTAAATTAAGTTGGAACATGTAACATGTTCCAAAAGGTAATCCTATCCTTTAATATACAGCTGACTGTGGTCTGACAGCTGTGCTTGTGGAGTGACTACAAGGGTAATGATGAGTGGCAGGATTAATATCTGGCATAGTCTACCACACTGCTATCTACATGGGAGCTTATTATGTACCTTCTCAGAGTGTCAGAGGAAAAGATGAAAAAGCCTGGGCAAATGCGCCAATGCGCAATATGGATGCGCAAGTTCGTGCAAAGAAGTGCGCATGCGCATAGGTGGGGCGACACATAATCATGCATTCCTGGGCACGAAAAATGCACCAGCACATGCAGGGTGCACTAATTGCTGACACTCAGTGGCCTTTATAAGGACTGCAGCTCTGCTCAGTGATTGCTGGATTATCGTCAGCCCCTCCCATTCCTGTGTTCCTGAGTTTACTGCTGATTACCCATTACCAACCGGCTTGATCCTGACCTTGTTCATGGCTGCTGCTCTGTGTATGATCCTGGCTTGCTCCTGACCTTGCTCTGTCTGCTGCTACTCTGTGTATGACCCAGTGATGGACTGACCATTTGGAAACTTGGGCACTGCCCAAGGGCCTGGGGTAAGTAGGGGGCCCCATGAGATGCCCCTGGTACCTTTTTCATAGGCTTTTTTGAGTTTGGGCAAGGACACAGGGGCCCCTTGATCCCCTATTGCCGGGGGGCCCCATGAGTTGTCAGTCCGCCCCTGGTATGACCCTGGCTTGATCCTGACATTGCTCTTGTCTGCTGTTAAATATTGATCCTGGCTCTGGCTACTGACTACTTTACCCATCCTCCAGATCCACGTGTTCTCTGGAGAAACTCCTCTGCAACTGGAGCACCCACGGGTTCCATCTCATCAGGCATTTCCAAGCAGCAACACCACTGGCAACCCGTGCTTCTTTGGGCACTGAACCTCCTGTTTCCACCTCCAGGGGCACACTGCACTTAGCCATAAGGCGAGCCCTCTCTCTATCACAGCCTCTGGTCAGGTACATGACAGCATAATCCAGCCATAATGTCAGAGGCTGAGAGAGGTGTCTCCCCAATAGAGGCGCTGTGCCAGTAGGTTGCCATCCTCACGCAAGCAGGTCAAGAACCTACAAAAAGGCTATTTTCAATTAGGAGGTTGCCTGCAGAATCTTGCCAATTCTTCAGTTCCTGCTGTCCAAAACCCACCCAGGGCACCCTCTGCATCCTCCTCTTCTGTTCAAGAAGGCCCTGCAGTCGCTCCCACAGTAATGCTACCTCCAAAAGAGCCAAGAGTACCAGTCCAGGAACGCTTTTCTGGAGATCGTCGAAAGTTCAGGGTGTTTAATAACGCATGTCTGTTATATTTGGCACTTCAACCCAGAACTTTTTCTTTAGAGTCTGTGAAGGTGGGGTTCATAATCTCGCTACTTATGATGACCTCAGTCCTGGGCACATCACCTCCTGGAGCAAAAGAGCCCAGTTCTGAACTCTGTTACTACCTTTTTTGATGCCATAAGCTACATGATCCCCAACGTCACAGCAGAAGCTGCCCTTCACACAGGCTGGATTATGAAATTCTGCAGCAAAACACAGCTGGAATGAAGCCGCCCTCAGATACCAGTATCGGCTTGGTCTCTCTGAAGGACTCAAAGACAAATTAGCCAGAGTTGAGGCTCCTACCTTCCTTGAAGGCCTCATCCAGTTGGCCATCCAGCTAGACTGTCAGGGATCCGGATGTGACCAGAGATGTGTGGACTGACACAGGGAATAGCAGGCTTCAGGAGTAATGTAATAATAATATAGTTTATTTGTGCGACACACCAATATACAAAACGCACCGTGCAAGTAAAAACCAAATAATCAGAAACCTTCACCCAATATATACAGAACAAAAGAGTAGTCAGGGCTAGCCGGGGTCATATACAGCTGATCAAGCATGGGGTAGGGAGAGGCAGACAGGACACGGAGCAGATCACAGGAACAACAGGAGCAGGGAGCAGGTTCAGGAAAACAGGTTATCACAGGCACATGGGAACAAAACACCAAGGCACTGGTTACAGGCATGATTGCTGCTTAAATACACCTCCTGCAATCAGCCTCAGGTGATGGCTTGATTGCAGGAGGTGAGATCCTGGCTGCTGAAAAGCACCCGCTGGCAAGAACTGGTACTGCAGCCCATCAGCACCAACAGCGATGAGTCTTTCCTGACATAGATTGTCGCCTGCGGGAACTGCGATCTGAAAGATCTAATTTCTACCATCCATCTTGGATGCTACCTAAGGTGTCTTCCTTCTCTTCTACTCTGCCCACTGTGCCACCTACTCCTGTTGCCAAACTGAACCTATGGAGATTGGCCTAGTTCGCTCCTCCTTGTCCCCAGATGAAAAGACACGTCAGAGACAGTCCAACCTATGCCTCTACAGTGGAGTGGCCGGAACATTTCTTATGAAATTGTCCTGTGAGACCTAGTAAGTCTATCCCTCCACACGCTATTTACACTCAGATTTCCGGATCATTACCAGCTCACCTTGTTCTACCTATCCTGTTGCAGGTGGCAGGAAGGGAAGTCAAGCTCCAAGCAATCATTGACTCCGGGGTGTGCAGCTGTTTTTTGGATGTCACCCTAGCAAATAAGTTGCAGGTCCCACTGAGAGACAAAAAACAAAAACTTGCAGTCCATTTAGCCGATGGGACTTTTCCTCAATCTAGTCCTGTAACACAGGAAACCATTCCTATTTTGACATCCACAGACTTAGGCCATCAAGAATTTCTCTGCTTTGACATCTTGTGCTCCCCCATGTTCCTTATTATCCTGGGAATACCGTGTCTTCGGGCCCATATCCCTCATGGGGACTGACCTACAGGAAAGATTGCCTTCTCCTCCATCTACTGTCTACAACATTGCTTTCCCCTGAACTCACAGACTCTTCCAGTTGCCTGACCGTTCAAACGGTGCCCAACACCAGTCAAATTGAGCCCCCAAACCTACCATGAATACCTATTTGTTTTTGACAAAACGTAAGGCCTTCACGGTACTACCTCACCGGCCATATGACTGCCCTATCAAACTCCTTCCCGTTGCAGAGGTTCCCCTTGGGCAAATTTTTCCGTTATCCGAAGTTGATCTGGAGGCTCTAAGAGTGTACATTGACGAGAATCTTAAGAAGAGGTTCATTCACACCTTCTCTTCTCCTGCTGGTGCTGGAATCTTCTTCATGGAGAAAAAGGATCACTCACTCAGACCTTGTGTGGATTACCGGGGACTCAATAAAGTAACTATCAAAAATCGTTATCCGTTCCCTCTGGTCCCGGAGCTCTTCCAAAGATTCTGTGATGCTTGAATATTTACAAAACTAGGATCTCCGGGGTGCCTATAACCTAGTCAGAATCCGCAAAGGAGATGAATGGAAGACAGCTTTTAGAACCCGCTTCAGGCACTTCGAGTACCTGGTTATGCCCTTCGAGTTGTGTAATGCTCCTGCAACCTTTCAACACCTCGTGAACGACATTTTCTGGGAATTCTTGGAACACTTCTTGATAGCCTACCTTGACGATATCCTTATCTTTTCTGCCACCCTGGAACTCCACCAAGTGCATGTCAAAAAGTCCTAGCTACCCTAAGACAGCATGGATTATATGCAAAGGCGGAGAAATGCTAATTTGAAAAACTATCAATCCAATTCCTGGGCTTGATCATTTCCACTGATGTGATTTCTATGGATCCCCAAAAGGTAGCTGCCATCACCAACTGGCTGGCCCCCACTGATAAGAAAGGTATCCAAAGGTTTGTGGGCTTTGCCAATTTTTACAGGAGATTTATGAAGAACTTTTCCTCTATCATTGCTCCCATTACCCAATTAACTCGGATACATACCCGATTCCAGTGGTCTCTGGAAGCCCAATGAGTCTTTGACAAGCTGAAGACTCTATTTACCTCTGCTCTGGTGCTACAGCACCCCAACCTGACTCTGCCCTTTGTCCTTGAGGTCAATGTCTCGGAGATTGCCACAAGAGCAATCCTTTCACAATGTCAGGGGCCCAAGGCTCTCTTGCACCCAGTGGCCTTTTTCTTCCGAAAGATGAGTCAACCAGAGAAAAATTACGACGTGGGGGACCGCAAATTACTGGCCATTAAATCTGCATTGGAAGAGTGGCGCTACCTCTTGGAAGGCGCTGCTCACCTGTCATGGTTTTTACTGATCATAAGAACTTGGAATATCTTTGAACCACAAAACTGTTAAGACCAAGACAAGCTCAATGGGCCTTATTCTTTTCAAGGTTCAATTTTCATTTAACATACCGTCCAGGGTCTAAAAATGGCAAAGCAGATGCCCTGTCCCGTATGTCCCCAGACACTTCTCAAACAGCTGCTCTCTCAGTACTATTTTATCTCCACATAATTTCCTACTCATTCAGCCTGATCTAAAAGCATCAATTAAACAAGCTTCACTTTCTATGCCAGGTCTGCGAGAGGTTATCCTTAAGGAAGCATGAGGATTTCTTGTGGCATGAGGACAAGATCTTTGTTCCACAAGAAGTCAGGCCACAAATATTTGAGATATGCCACGACCACCTGCTTGCAGGTCACTTCGGAACACGGAAAACCACTGAACTTGTCCAAAGATCCTTTTGGTGGCCCAACCTGAGACAGGACTGTAAAGAGTATGTTAACTCCTGCACAACTTGTCTATGCAATAAGGGCAGCCATACCAGAGCCTGGGGCTTGCTAAGACCCCTGCCAGTTCCTGAACAGCCTTGGAAGATGATTTCTATGGACTTTATTGTGGAGTTACCTACCTTTGAGGGATTCACCACCATCCTGGTGGTAGTGGATAGACTGTCCAAAATGGCTCACTTCCTGCCCATGGTGGGTACTCCTTCCGCTACTGAAACTGCTCAAACATTTATTAAGGAGATAGTAAGACTACACAGGATACCCAACAATATAGTTTCTGACAGGGGGGTACAATTTACATCCAAATTTTAGAGATCTTTTTGCAAAACCCTGAATATGGAAGTATGTCTCTCTTCTGCTTATTATCCACAGAGTAATGGGCAAACAGAGAGGACTAACCAAACTTTGGCACAATACGTAAGATGCTTCCCCACCTTCTCTCAGGATACCTGGGCATCTCTTCTTCCCTGTGCAGAATTCACCTACAACAACTCTGTCCATGCTTCCACCAACCAGTCTTCTTTCTGGGCAAATTACGTTTTTCACCCTTCCTTTGTTCCGGATGCCATTCAAGAAGCATCAGTACCTGCAGTCCAGGATAGGTTAACTTTCATACAATCCAAATAACAGATACTTCAGAGGACCATGCAAAAAGCTCAGGAGGATTACAAGAAACAGTTTGATAAAACGAGGAGAGGTAACCCTGGGTGGAAGGTGGGAGACAAAGTGTGGCTTGCTACAACCAATCTCAAACTTGCTTGCCCTTCATGAAAACTAGGTCCCAGGTTCATTGGACCCTTTAAAATCAAAAAGGAGATTAACCCTGTGGCCTTTGAACTGGATTTACCCGACTCTTATAAGATTCATCCAGTCTTCCATGTTTCTCTACTCAAACCAGCCGTTATGTGCCCTATCCCTGGAAGAGAGGAACCCCCCCACCGCCAGTCACGGTAGAGGAAGACATCGAGTTTGAAGTTGAAACCATCTTAGATGGATGGAAAAGGGGGAGACAGATTCAATATCTGGTTAAATGGAAAGGGTATCCACTGGAGGATAGTTCCTGGGAACCAGCAAGAAATGTGCATGCTCCTAAGCTGCTTCAAGAATTTTTTAACAGATTCACTGAAAAAACAAGCCCACCTGGGCATCCGGAGGCTGCCCCTTGGGGAAGGACACTGTCAGAGGAAAAGACGAGAAAGCCCGCCGGGCAAATGCGCCAGTGAGCAATATGGCCACACCAAGTCGCGCAAAGAAATGCGGGTGGGTGATACGTAATCATGCATTCGTGTGCACGAAAACGCACCAGCACACAGGGTGCAATAATTGCTGATACTCAGTGGCCTTTATAAGGACTGCAGCTCTTCAGTGATTGCTGGATTATCGACTGCAGCTCTGCTCAGTGATTGCTGGATTATCGTTATGAGCGCGTCTGCTTGATCCTGACGTTGCTCTTGCCTGCTGTTCCAAATTGATCCTGGCTCTGGCTACTGACTACTTTACCCAACCTCTGGGATCCGCTTGTTCTCTGGAGAAACTCCTCCTACAACTGGAGCACCCACGGGTTCCATCTCATCAGGCATTTCCAAGCAGCAACACCACTGGCAACCCGTGCTTCTTTGGGCCCTGCACCTCCTGTTTCCACCTCCAGGGGCACACTGCACTTAGCTGTTAGGAGAGCCCTCTCTCTATTGCAGCCTCCGGTCAGGTACGTGACACAGAGAGTCTAACTTGGTGTGGTGGTCATTGAGGATGTAGAGCCTTAGATTCAGATTCAGCAGTTTTCTTCCACTGTTGTTGGTTTTACTGTCATAGCTATTTCTTTGTATCTATATTGGAGCATGACAGTAGTTTGTAGAACCCAATATGTATGTTTTCCATCAGAATTTATCTAGTCCTTTTCCCTTCTTGTTCTAGCGTTGAGATCTCCGAAGATGAGCAGTATCTATCTATCTATCTATCTATCTATCTATCTATCTATCTGTCTGTCTGTCTGTCTGTCTGTCTGTCTGTCTGTCTGTCTATTTATCTATCTATGTAATTTTGTGGCTGCCAATGAAAAGATGACATAGGTGAACTAGTAAAAGTACATGATTCATTGAACATATACATTAAGAAACAGAATTATGGTTCTATAGCTGAAGAATTGTGGATTGTGCAGCTTTATGGTGTAAACTACTTTTGACAGCAATGGGAGTTTTAGAAAAAAAAACCTGCCAGCTCAGCAGGTGTTTTCTTTTACTGAATAAGGCCCCTAGTGCCTAAACAATCTCATGAGTCATAGATTTTACACTTTAGGATAACCTCTCCATTTAACTGTAAATTACATTCTTTTTATGCCATTTTCTAGAAGATTAAGCCATAGTTCCTGTCATTTCATGACAAGGGACACTCCTTCTCTACTGTCTAGACATCTGTTCTCAAATTTTTGCATGAATATTTCTATTTACTTGCAGGGCAACATGATTTTCACTATATTTAATGTAAATATGAATTGTGACAAATGTTTGCTCTGAGCAATATCTCTAGATTCTCCTTTTATGCATATGAGGCATTATTTGAGTAAGGATAGAGAGAGATTAGCCATAATTGTCCCAGTAATCACATCAGTACTCCTGTTATCAATGTTTCTTTGATCAGGCTATTTCTGAGCTACCTTGGGGTAACTCTTCTGGGAAAATCTATGAAAAAAGAAAGTCTGGATGTTTTATTTTTGAAAAATGGGAACTATGATAAATACTGAATGTGTGCTATATGAGCCTTTATTCATAATGGCAGTTCTGGCACTTGATAGTTATTTGTACATATATGGGCTGCCTAAGGTTTATCAACTGGACTTAGCGGGTATTACAGCATGTTTGCTATTAATTCTGAGGTGGCCACGTTGGATTGTGCTTTAACACTCTGCCTAGAAGGGAAGGTTTCTTCAAGAAAGAAAGAAATCTAGAGTCTACATATCCAATGCAGACAGCTGTTGCCTGTGATTATTTTAATATGATACAGCATAAAGTGAAAGCTGTGCTAAGCATTTAGATAGGTAAATACAGCATTTTTACTCCCAGCAATTAAAGAGGTTCTGTCACTGAGTGGAAAGGAGACAAATTGCCTCAGGTGTGTAGTGCAGGCACCTGGAGCAGCCTCAAAAAATGTCCCTGTCAAGGCCAAATCTTAGGTCATTCTGAAAAACACTTTCTGAATTTTGCCAAAATTTTCTTGCTTATTCCTGCCTCATGTGCATTTCTAGTGGCATAAAAAAGCTGCCCATCACAGTAATATTGGGGAATGGTTTTGTTATGGAAAATGCCAGAGCTTTGCAGCTCCACTATTCAGCCATCACAGGAAGGTTTTGAAGGCCATTGCAGATACATGCAGGTCTCTCTATGTGCTTACACTTCATACATACAAGTTTCCTCTCTTTTCCTGCAGTGACAGAATCTCTTTATGGGCCTATATTAATAAGCTTAATTGGACAAATGCAGAGTGTTTTTGACATCGGTCTGAAAGACTTCTGATACCATTCAGAATACATTGCAATTTCAGCTGACCAACAGTTGACCTACTTCTGGATTTTGATAAACTAATATGGGGGAAAGAAGCATTTATGAAGAGATGTCTTCACAGGCCCAAACACTGAAACAGAAAAACAGTCTAGAAAAACCCAATCACTTTATGTAAAACACATTCTCAATAGTGCTAACTAATGTAAATAACTGGGCACTGTTCAGCCCATATGACAGAACCACAGAGCTTTTTTTGAAATACAGAGCAGGATGTGTGAGAAATGTTCTTGTAGCCTCCCTAGCGGTCTGATTATGCCCATATTTCTGTGCTCAAAGTGATACATTTTTTGTATAGAAATTTGTAGTTTTTTTCATTATAGACCTGTAATTTTTAGGAATAACTCACTGAAATCTGTCCGAACAAGAGTCTAGTAAACAACCCGGGTATGTTAAAATTTGAAACACAAAAATCATAAATTATAATTTAATAAATAATCATAAAAAATAATACTATAATAATAATACATTTAATTCAATAATATAATCAAACCAAAAACACGGAAATTTGAAATAGAGCTCCAAGTTCGCACATCACTGAGCAATGTCGCAAAATTGTTTTCAGTGTCTGAGGACGAATTTCCCCACGAATCATTATCACTCAATTCTGAAAGTGGTTCTGATTTACTATTGCTGTTCTCTAGCTGGTCTAAAACCGCTTTTAACTTAAAGGGACGTTTTTTGGACGCCATGGACATTTCTCAGTTTCCAGGCAGAAAGAACAGTAAAAATGCAGGCAGGGCACAGGGCAAAGCAGATACAGTTATGTTTTACTATGTGAGTTTAGTGAATTTAGTGAATGTCACTTTTAAAATTTTTCACATTTCCGTCCCCGTACGTCCCAACTTCGCAAGGAACGGAACCCAGAAGACAGATGCCGGCCTCAGCAAGAGGACATTGCCGAGGATGCTACAGGGGGGACATCGCAGGAGCGCAGGACAAAGTAAGTGCAGAAGAGATCCCGGAGCAACGCTGCAAGGTATTCCCGAGTGTAGCTCAGGGTTACCACTTGTGGTGCTGAAACTTTACCCCGAGCTACACTTAGGAATACCTCCAGGGAGGTTAATACATTGCACGAGCCAGTATTCAGCACAAAAAAGCCCATCCGACATCCCTAGAAAGAAATTTCCACTGAACCATGCTACTTAAAATGCTCATGGATTCACTGGCCCAGATTAAAAAAGATTTGTAGTAAATTGTAATCTAAAAGTTTAAAAGTGCTCCAATGCTGAGCACAGTGTGGATAAAAATAAGCAATTTAAAAACATAATATTTTTAAACTATCCAATTTGTTTCCCAAAATAAAAAATACATATTATATTTAGCAGAATTTACAATATATGGTCTTGGTGCCAATAGCCAAACTACAGAAAAAAAGCCTATGACCTATAACAAGATATTGGGTTGGTGCTGCAGCAAACCAACAGAAAGTTTATTTCTAGTTGTGGCAGAAAACTATTCAGTGTTTAAAGCCAGTCTAACACTGTCACTGGGGATTTATCCCAGTTACTGCTTCCCTGTTCATGACCCTTCCATCAGCTGCTTTATACTGCAAGTGTAAGAGTGGCAGTGGATTTGAAAAAAATATAACTAGTAAAAACTGGTTTGGATATATGTACTATGGGCTTTTACTAATAAGGCTGCTTATATATAGCAACAGCAACAAAAACTACAACAACAGCAAAACCTAGTGAAAACCTAGTGATGCGAATACTATCATTTTAAGCCTTCGTGGTAAGACGGGTCATGTATTTAGTATAATTTCCAAGAATTACATATTATACATTTCTGTTGTATATTTCAATAGGAATTTAGCATTCTGTACCAGTCACCTCACACCAGTGACAAGAGGGTAGGTCTTATCAAGGGGTAGGGTGAAATGTCATTAATGCTGCAGAGTATGAATGCATTCGGACAGCCAGGGATGTAGTGGAGCTGTACACCAGCGATCACATGACTGAAGTTTGGTGAGACACTTTATTTGTGTGTTTATTCCAAAGACGTACAATTTAAGGTGAGACCCCCAATACTATCATATGTGAGACTAAGGACATTTTAGATTAGCAGTAAATGCAAATAGCAATATACACCAATCAACAATCAGCTTTTACTGTTTCACTCTTCAAACTGGTAAAATATGCAGTCATATTGGTTGGTACAAGATACTAGACAGTGCACACAATAGCTGCTATCAGCACAGCTATAATAAAGAGAATGCAAACATAAGATACTGCTCTAGGCAGTCTTCTGGCTCACCTACACCCAGGGGCCGACTGACCATTTGGAAACTCGGGCACTGCCCGAGGGCCCGGGGTCAGTAGGGGGCCCCATGAGATGCCCCTGGTACTTTTTTCATAGGCTTTTTTGAGTTTGGGCAAAGACACAGGGGCCCCATGATCCCCTATTGCCCGGGGGCCCCATGAGTTGTCAGTCCGCCCCTGCCTACACCAAATATGGGTGGTGACTCAACAGGGTCCAGTCTTTCTCAGCTTAAAAAATCCAAACGGAAAAAAATACATTACACCATTTTCATTTCTTCTGAGCTTTATTGTGATATAAGTACTTTCCTAAGACCACATTAAAGCTCTTATGAGTAAGCCCAGTAAGGGTAAAGGCTTAGATTTGGTCTTGTTAATGTTCTCAAGAACATTAAACTCTTTTATAAAATGTAAAAAAAAGATGGGATGGATATATAGCTTTATCCATTTGATTTGTATTACGTAAAACATTTACCGAATTGATCTACTGATTGCTGACCCCCCCCCTACACACACACCTTTCTCTCCTGAAGATGACAGATGCCTGGTTGTCTTTGGTTCAGTGCCTTCTGATCTGCAACAAGCATGTAATTAGTAAAGTAAGAAAAAGTCAGAACTCTTGATCTCTATATTTGTTTTTGATCAGTGACTCAGAATGTTTTGAAGCTTTTGTATCAGCATTACAGTCAGCCTGCTAGTATTTTTGAACGAAGATTTCAGCAATGGCCATATACGTATTTCACCAGAAAAAGAGCATTTTAACCTGCAGCATTAAATAAAGTGACATGCTTTGTCTGATTTCAATATAATGTTACAATTTAATACAAAAACATATTTGACTGCAAGCTCTAATAACCAAGACCCTCAAGCATTTTGTTCCATGTACAGAACAACTATACAACTATATATTAACAACAAAAGTAATGATGGGAATAATGATCACTCTGGACCAGGGGAACAGGAAACGTTATTAATACCTGAAATGTTATTCTTTGGTGGATCAAGAAGGAATGTCAAATGTTGCAGAAGCTGGCAGAATCACTCTATCTGTAACTTGATGTATGGCATGCATTACCGTAGTCTAGCAAGTTAAGGCCAACTGTTTAATCACAATTACTCCAATGATGAAACTAAATGCTATTGGCAGCCTCCACAGAGCAACTGAAAGCATTCAGCAGGCCAAGATAGTGAAAGAATAAAGGAGCAAAAAATAGTGCAAAAACAAATGCTAACCACAAAATATATAATAAAGAATGTTCATAGAAGTCCATGACATTACTGATGCATGAAAACACTTTTCCTGGCTGTAGCATAACTAGGAAGGCAGGACTTTGGATAGGCCCTGATGGCCAATACATGTAAAAGGAGAGAGAGAGGGTGCCACATATTAAGTGTAGATTTCTTAGACAGGATAATAAAAACACACACAAATTGTACTCACTGTAAGTAAAGAAGTGATACAGATATCATTCAGCCTCTGTGATGACTGTACCTCAGGTCTGGGTGAAGGCCAGCATCTGTAGAGTGGGAACCAATACACTGTGCAGACCTTGTGAGGGCAGTGGCGGGACATAAATGCTCAAACTACCTAGAGATCCTGCACCTGATAGCAGAGCTTGGTAGGGAAGCAGCCGGAGTTCTTGAATTGTAGAGGATGACTTCACATGCTGCAAAATGGGGTGCATGGCAAAACATTTTAGGGTGGGTCAGCCATTTACTCAAGCCTCTTGAGAAGCTATATTTTCAAGGCTTGATAAAGGAGGCAGGACCTCTGAAACACTTTGTACATGCCCCCTTCGCTTCTTCCCGGTGAATGCTAGGTTCATTGAGGACAGCCATTGATGCTGCTACTTTCCATCCTCACACAGCGGGTCCGGTTTCCTGTGGATGACAGCTGTAGCCAGTCTGTAGACCGGGCTCATTATTTTCACACACATACTGTCATTTCCCTCTAAGTCCAAGCAGCACTTCTCTTACTTGAATGTAAGCTTGAATTTGTTTGTTGAATAAATTACACATTGGTTTTACTAATTTCTTTGCTTTGGCTACCTTGTTATTTTCTATATGCAATTGAGTGTCATGTTAGCTGTATGAACCAGTTACCTCCACTTCTCCCAATAGTGGATTACACTATGAGCAAAATTGGTGGCTCACTGGGGCCCCAGACTCCAGGAGGGCCATGAGGATGCTAAAAAAAGTTTTTCACTTCCTTGCTGTTTTTAGTAAGTCAATGTCAGGCTTGACAACTTTTTTTTTTTTTTTTTACAAATTGCAGCATTGGTATTCCTTTCAATAAATGTTTCCTTTATAGGACAACTTCGCCTTTAATACTAAATCCCCCTACCCCCCAGAGTACAGCCATTTAGGACAATATTTACCTTCCTCCCTGATCTAGTGCTCATTTCTGAGTTCTGTCCACCTCCTCATTATACAGCGCATGTGTACCACGGCCCCTTTGGTTTGTATGGGTAAGCCATACTACAATGCACCGATGAAGGCCTCCATGAAAAATTTAAATATCCTGGGACCCAAAGTATAATTCATCTACTGCCTGCTTTCCCTAGATAACTGACCAAGCCAACACTGTGTGCATGCCTGCATGCAGCTTTGTAAATATAAAGTTAATAAATGCAAAAATGTACAGTGATTAATAACATTTGAGAAGTCCTCATTTTGTAGTCTGGTAGTGTATTCTCTGTAAAAATTGTTTGATTATTATATTGGTTTCTACACATCATAGCTCTTTTACATGAAAGGAACCTGTACTTTAGGTGTGTATGTATGTTTGTGTGAGATTGCTAGGTGTACTGTGGTAGTTATATTTATAAGCGTTAGCATTCAGCCTCTGGAGGAAATTCTTTTCAATGTTATAGGGTTATAACTTCTTTTTTTCTCCTGTCATTTACAAAATGAAGCCACTTTGCAGACCTCAGCATGCTGATAACACAGAGAAAAGTAGTTTTGCCGGGGTGGATGCTTTTCACCTATTTACAGGGCTTTCATGCTGTAGTCCATGAAACAGCATGCCAGACATCATCCTAATATGGTAACAGCAGCATTTTATCTTTCTTTTGCTAACCAAATGCAGATGGATGAAAGATAGCTTGATGGTCGTAAGACTGTAATTTCTAGACTGAAAGTCTCTTACTTGTGCTGCATTATAGCATTAAATCAAACTGCGCCGAATGACCATGAGAAGTAAAATAACTACTTAACAACATGACTGAAAGGATTTTTCTGAGTTTTTTTTTTTTATGTCAGCACTCATGAAATATATTTAAATAACATAAGGATACAGTCGTTCAAAAAAGCAGCAACAGAGTGCAACCACACAATAACAAAGAATTTACCATTTTTGAGACTAACGGAGGGTGAACGCCTATTGGTTGCTAAAGGTTACTGTGCTTACATATTGCTCATTTTCTTATTAAAAAAAAAACTGTAAGTAAAGAAAATTCAATGGTTATATACTAAAAAGCCTGTTGGGTTTGATTTCTGAATGTCAAAATATTAATATTAATAAGCCATGAGGATGAAATTTGCATAATTAAATTGATATCCATTCTCTTGATTTCTAGGTTAGGGTTAAGGACTGCCATTATAAAACGGCTATGGGAGTGATCATTAAATACACTTGTATAGTAGTTAAGAAGATTAAATTAATCTCTGGAGATTGGATGTTCAGAGTTGTGGAGGAGTTTTCTTTTGTAATTTACAAAGCATTTATATCCCACTCATTTAAGGCAATGAGGGGTTAATGTTCTCTGTCTTTGATCACAACTACTTTTCATCCAGTGGGTACAACACAAGCATAATTTATAGTGAAGCTGAAGTCCCATAACAATCATTAAGAATAATGTAATTAAATAGCTGATTGAGTTTGTCCCTATTGCAGTTTACTATGGTCAGATAATCAATGTTGCTTGGTACAGATTTTAGTAGTGCCCTTGCTGAATTGAAAGCAGTGCTGGATTTAATGAAACTTTTAATATGGTTTTGCTATATAGAGCATGCATAGTAGCAAGTATGGCCAAACTGTAAAAGTAAAAATCTTCATTTTTCAGTACGCTAGGTAACTTCTAGCCAAGGACTCCTTTTAAACCATATGGCATGCTGATTATAACTATGTTAGTTAATATAACTGTCATTGTTTCAATATCATATTCAGTCCCATAAGTATTGCCTGTATTCACTTCCTAAGCTACGCTAATAGAAAATGTGCCGTGCAGAAACTGGTTGACAGGTCAGCACAAAACCATGATTTGCAAAGGCATAGCGCACACCTGGGATGAAGCTAAGAAATAAAGGTTAGCTTAAGTGAATAAGAACATAACTGCACTGTTTTTAAAGACGCAATATACAATATTATGTCTTTGTTCATATCTAGAAGAGCAGGGGAACTTTAATGCCACTGTCAGGCTTTTTCCTCAGTATGGACATCAGTACAATCTATTGGGAACACAGAGAGCCATAACAACTGTTCTTTCAGTCCACCTTTTAATCCATCTACCGTTTTAATTGAAAACCTCTGTTTCCATCTTCGACCCCTCCAAGTCCAAAACATACCCTTTCCTCTCTGCTATGCAGCCCACTGGAAGCCACTCAGTCTCCTCCTTTATTTTTTCATTCATAATCACTGCATTCTCCATTCATTAATATGGAAAGGCCATCCAGACTTAAGCCAGATAATAGACATCCTTTCCATATAATGTATAGAGATTCTTACCCACATATAGCCCAGTCAGGAGACTCTTTCTCAGGTATTCTATGACCAAACCAGTAGAGAAATATTTGTTAGGATTGTTGATGCTTTTCAAAGACTAAACACAGGCAGGTGAATTTACCTTGAGTCTTTTTTAAACATGGGAAGCTGTTTTTACATATATCTTTTTACATTGGTAGTTTGAGCTAATAACAATTTGGAATGATGTTCTCAAAGAAGAAGTTCTATTATGCTTTCATAGGGAGAATTTACCTTGTGATAGAAGAACCATGACTTTTCTGTTATTTACTAAAGGAGAATTTTGGCATATATCAAACTTCATTATTGAAGAAGCAAACAAATCACCAATTTTCCTAACAGGGAAGCATTGCCATTGATATTTTAAGCAATTGTTCTAAAAATCTAACTTTAGAATCAGATAAGAGGGTAAATTAGAATTAAA